ACTCTGGGCCTGCTCCTTAGCTTGACATCGATTGTGGACGTGGCCTGGGGATCAGAACCACAGGTAAAATAGATCACAATATATATATGGCTAATCAACAGCAAATCCTTGTGTACACATAGTTTATTTAAAGTACTAGTTGAACTATAGTTCATTTAAATAAATTCAACATTTAACAATAAAGAAGTAAATACTTCTTGCATCATTAATGAACAGAATGAATAATGTCATTAAGCAAGTATGATTGATAGTGATAAATAGAGACAATAATCAGAAACATTAGTCGTGATTAAAGTTTCTCAGAATGAGTTTTTACACAGCTTCACTTTATTCAGAAGGTTCACAGCTGACATTATAAACAACAAAAACACAGAAAATCAATCAATCAAACTTTATTTTTAAAGCACTTTTCACACACAGACTGTGGCACAAAGTGTTGTTCAATTGGCAGGATATTAAAAAACAATAAATTAAAATAAATAAGAAATAAAAGAGGTGAGGACTCTTTAACTTGCCACGGATGGCTGAGGAAAGATAATAGAAACATATTTTCATCCAAAGATATTCTTCTTTCATTTGTAGAAACAGCAGATTTGTGACCAACAGTTTAGCTAACCGCTTACATTGAGATGAATGGGCTCGGCTAAGCTAACGCTAGCACGCTAACAATAACAAGCTCACCTGTCCTCGGTTAATCGACACGCGGTACACCTTCTTCACGTGGTTTAAAACACGGGTGAAGTCACGGCAGAAGGCTCCTACAGGATGATATATTGAAATCATTTAAAGAAGTTTGTTGTTTAAGTGAGAATGTTAAGATTAAACTCACACTAACCTGTAGTTTGGCGCTAACGCCGCTTCCCCGCGGCTCCTCCTCCACTCAGTTGGTCGCGCCAACACATGTGATCTCGTGACGTCACCAAAACACGCAACTATTACTGGTCGAAGCGGTACCGCGAAATACCGCGAGATACCGCGAGACTAGAGGATATTTACCGCGAGAAACCATAGATCTATATTTAAACACTAGATGACTCACACACGCTCTGAGCTAATGGAGACCGACGTCCACGCATGGCGGCCATGTTGCTACGGGCCACTCACCCACTCTTGACATTCCAGTCTAGGTTCATGTAACATTTAAATAACCATAGATTGATTAATTTTAAACCGATTTTCAAACAGTTTGGTTTGTAACAAACCTCAGAGTTTTAGTTTTGTTCCTGCATACTCAAAAATAATCTTAACCATGGATTTACATAAATAAACGTTAAGCAGATAGGTAGAGCACTAGCTATAGACCTACACACACAATGCAGTTATATTACATCATTTATATATTAAACATTTAATCATTACATGTATGTTATATTAGTAATATTTCTAGTATAGGGATAACTATCATAATATATAGCAATAACATACAGATATTTATATAGTCACAGCGAGTCTGTTAGCCAATTCAGACAGCTGATAAACACAAGCACATCCACAAAGACTGACACTTAGATTAAATAAAAAATAATAGTTTGTCAATCAAGAAATTAAAATCTAGATTGTGGTCTGCCTTGACAACGCACAGCGACTCAATGTTAGCCCTTACGCGCAGGTAGCTGTGAAACAACAAACAACTGAAAGTCTTTTTTTCTTAAGGTAAATCTGTCATTTTAATATGTCCAAACATCCCGACTCACAGTCACGTTTTTAAGATCTGTAATAAACTAAACCATTTGTAAATCTGTCAAGATTTCAGCCCGTTAAGAGTATTTTGATCATGCAGATTACTCACCGTCCATCAGCTACCATAGAGTGTACCAAAATGGTATACTGGAGTAAGATAGGGACACCAGTGACTCTGCCTCCAGTGATCATAAAGGCGGAGCTGGCTGCTCAGGAGCCCAGAAGAACAGTATTTACTCAAAGACTTCAGACTAAAGAATGAGAAATAATGTGGTTATTTTCGTAGCTTATGGCAGCCATATTTGGGAGGGAAAGGTTTGATTATTGTTGCTTTACGTGTGATTGGAGAGGCATTTATAACTTGAATCTGCTTGACAGGGTTGAGGTTTTACATGCGTTTTCATAGGTTATTTCCAGGAGCACCAAAAACCGGGAAAAAAAAGACAGAAAGAAGCATCAAGAGATATTAGAGGATACAAACATCGAGCTCCTCAAAGCACACGATGCTGAAACGGATAATTCTGCTCAAGGCCAAACTCTGGAGAGTTCACTAAAGAGGTGTTCAGGCTTGAACATTCATGTCCACGTTTCCTCAGCTCTTTGGTTTCACATGTCGAGGTTCAGCTGAGGACGTAAAGAAAATCAAACCCCTGTCAGTTTTTTTCAGTGTGTGCGTGATGTACAGAAACACGGTGATCACTCATTATCCGGAAAACTCGGCGTCTCTGCTCCTCCCGTGGCGTCTCTGACACGAGGACACTTTCACTCCATAATAAAGCTTATCATGGCTGCTAATTGCCCCTCATTACCTCGGCATTTATCCGCCTCCCATCTCCTTAACGGGATAAAAATCAATCAATGGCTGCTCCTCTTCGCTCCCCTGCTTATGCCGCTGCAGTCTGAGAGAAAATGGCGAGCGATGGCGATAGCGGTGGGTTGGGGAGTGGATTACGCCCGGAGCTGCTGTGATGACACCATACAATCCTAATGGGCTTCTTCACGCCGCGCTCACCTAATCACCCGTATCAAACCCTCTCAGAGAAGAGCCCGGCCTCTTATTTATTTGATTTCTCTCACATTAAATTATATAGGATTTAGAAAAGGGATTAATTTTTTACCCTTGTAAGAAGCCTGAGCCACTTAATTAGGGCTGAAAATAATACTGCAATTATTTTTTCAGAGGGTGAGAATGGGATTTTTACGGCCTCTGAGTATTTGGTAATTATAATGCTGCACTCGGACTGCTAATTTCCCCCCTCACAAACTTTGCTGTTGTCGTGTCACTGAGTTTTATGTTGTTATTCTGGGTGCTGCAGCCATTGTTATGCAGACTGTTGTTTATCAGTGCTGCTGCTATCAGTAACACAGCTCGTCATTCACTGCCACATTGTTCACACAGACAATGGATCTGTGTTTGCAGCGTGCATGACAGAAATCTGATTCACTGATCAATGGCCTCCGCCGTTTTGTCTCCAACACAATGAGCCGTGATGAGACGGTGACAGGATGAAGGTAGAACAATAGCAGCTTACCTGGAAGTGCGTCCGTGTGTGTGTGTGTGTGTGTGTGTGGCATCATTTCGGCCTCATCTGCAAAAATAAAGCCGTTTGTTCTCACCTTGAATGAATCCGCGCTTTGTTTCAACAATTAAGTTTTCATCGGTGCAAAAGTTACATGAGTGTCAACAAACCTGAAGATGAAGAATCTGAAAACCTGCTGACGCACTGAAGGACGTTTCCTCTAAAGAGTCCACATGCACACTTTCATAAGCTGACGGCGGAGGTGTTCTGAGGCTGTTTGAGGGGGAGGGGCTAAAACCTTCTGGCGTAAACATAATATAGGGTCAAACTCACCGTAACACCGAGTTAGACCCCCCCTCCAGAGATGAATGTTGCCGTCCGCTTGCTTCTCTAGTTATACCAACTTTAGTAACGACTACAGGATAGTAATACAGAGAGCCACGCCCTCAACCAAAACGCCACTCTATAGCCACAAATAATGCTCAGAACAGCACCTAACTTCATCAACAGGACAATATCCCTTTAAGAGGTAGGGCATCCATTTACCTCTTCTTTAATCATACCTTTAGAGCCTTTTTCACCTTCACTTTAAGAGGACATGTTTTTAAAACTTTATTTTATCTCAAATCCAGATGGTGCTTTTACCATAAATTTATAGGAAGAGCACTGATTTTACCGGAAGGACATCCAGAGTGACTTTTTTCAATGCTCTTTATAAGACAGCATCCATTGAACTGATTTGTCACCCTGAGGGAACCTTTCCTCCTCATTTTTCTTACAGGGCATAAAAACAAAACATCACTGGAAGGACATCCAGAGGTCATGTTTCACCATAATTTAACTAAGAAGGATTAAAGAGAGAACTTTTTAAAACCTTAAATCAGTGGAAGGGCAATCAGATGGCACTTTTTGGACCATGATTGTATTGGCAAGACATATTTTGTTTGAGTGAGCAACTTTTTAAAACCTTAATTTGACTGAAAGGGCATCCATAAGGCACCTTTTCAGCTTCATTTTACTGGAAGGGCATCCAGAGGTCATTTCTTAACCCTCATAATGGTAGAAGGGCATCCACAGTTTAGTGTTTTTCAGTGTTTTGTATGAGAGGGCATCCAGAGGTCATTTCTTAACCTCTTGTTTATGAACTGGACTCTGATGTTCAATAGCAGCGTGTTAATTGGGGATGTTGGATCGATGTCTCGTGTTCGTTATGAACCTGTTGATGGAAAAGTTCGTCTCCACGGTGAGACGGTCTTCAGAGTCCTGATGCAGAGTGCTGTAAAGGCAGCAGAGATAAAACATCCCGAGCATCTGTTTCCATCAGTGACTCACACACATCTGTTGCTGATGTAAAGACAGCGCTCTGCAGGTAAGAACACGTATCCCTCCTGCAGACTGTGATCCAGGACTAAACACCTGCAGGGGAGTCTGAATCCAGACTTGCTGTGTCCTCTGAAAGTCTTCTCTGCAGGGCCGAAGGGCGCCGGCACTGAGCTCAGTTTGTTTTCTTATTCCCACGAGTCGCTCTCAGATGTATGGAGAGTTGTTATTGTTTGTGTTGGAATAAAACCAAAGAAGAAGAAGAAGAAGAAGAAGAAGAAGATGGAGAATATCCCACCCCCTTCACCTCCAGCCCTGCTTTGATTGACAGCTGAAAAAAAAGGAAGTAAAGGTAAAAAAGAAATCCCTGCGGCGCTTCACAGTCCAACAACTTTTCTTTTTCACGCCAACTTTTGGTACAAATTAGATCGATTCGCAGCGGCGCAGGAACAGGAAACTCAGGGTGTGTTTGAGGTAAAAATGAGCGAGTGTGGCGTTTACTCGTCCGTCATCGGTCATGCCTGTCACACAGCAGCTGAAGCATCGCTCTCCATCTTGTTTGTCCCGCTGACGTCCGGCTCTGGATGGATGAAGCTCGGCGCTCAGGAGGCCCGTCGCTCAGGTGAGAAGTTTACTTCGTTAGTCACAGATGGTTTTACTTTTCCACAACATGAGGAAGAGTAATCAGAGAGGAGGAGGAAGAGGAGGAACTCATGAGGGAGGAGGCATCCACCACAGTGAGGTTTTCAGGGGCTCTGACACAAATAATAGACAAAAAAAATGGATCTATAGATGGAACATCATGAAGATCGAACTTCTTGTTTAAAATTCTGAACAAAAATAAAAATAAAGAGGTAGAAAGAAAGAAAGAAAGAAAGAAAGAAAGAAAGAAAATAAACAAAAAAGTTGTAACAAAAAAATAAACAGAGACTGAAATGAGATGAGCAAAAAAGAAAAACCCAGAGCAGAGGAATAAAAAGGAAGAAAAATGAAAAAAGAAAGAAAAAGAGAAAAATATGCATGAAAATAAAAAAGAAAAAAGAAAAAAGAAAGTCCTAGAGAAAAAGAAATGAAATAAAAGTTAAAAAAAGAAGTAAAGAAAGTGAAAAGAAAAAAGCAAAGCCGAATAATGACAAAAATAGAGACACAAAGACAGTAAAAGAAAGAAAAATGAAAAACAAACAAATAAAAAGAGGTCGAAATAAGAAAAAATGAGCGAAAAGGAAAAAAAAGTCTGATTAAATGAAAATAAAAAAACATTAAAGAGACAAAAACTAATGAAATCAAAACAAAGAAAAAAAGAATAAAATAAAAGACAGAAAGAGGAATTTTACATGTCGGAGGAAGTGTATTTCCTGTTGGAGTCCTCTCTCCTGTAGGACGGTTTGTGACGTTAAAATGACCGTGTTTTAATTCTTTAAAGGTTCTGAGTGAACTCTGCTGAACTCAGTTTTCTGGACTCTCCTGTCGTCGGCGTCATTTCTGCAGAAGTTGTAAAGTGATGAATTGACTCGTTCCTCTCCTGGTTCGTCGCTCCTCCCTCTCTCTCTCTCTCCGCTCGTCTTTCCTCTCTGTACTCCATTTTTAAGGTAAAGTCTTTTTCTTTTTTTAACAGCGCTGCTCTGTAAGTTTCTCTCCTCCGAGGCTGAAGAATCACAGAAAAGGTCAGGAGTGCCACGATTGGCAGCTGGTATTTGCGGCACAGTCAGCCTCCACCCTGCGCACGCCAGCCCGACGTGTTCCTTAGAGCCGCCGCTGTGACACGAACAAGCGCTGACTGCTGTACGCAGTGTTCTGCTGCCTGACAGACGACGCTCGGGGTTTTGAGGACTGTGTCGTTTTACAAGGAGCTCTTCTTCTTGGTCTCGGCGGAGGTTTGAAACTCAGATCGGATCACGCAGCTCAGACAGAAAAGTCTCTTCAATTACTCACTGAGCGGTCAGTGATTACAGGCTGTCACAGTGCATTATGGGAAAAAAAACCTTCACTACTGATGATACTCCTGCCATCTTGAGCTGGTTATTTTTACCTTCCAGTCCAGTTTGGTGCACTTGGGTCTGATCTTCCAGGTGGTTCCTCCTCCAGCTGTGGTTTACAAGAGTGCAAGAGAGACAGTGAAGGTCAGAGTCCCAAACCAGTCAAACCAGTCAAACCAGTCAACTGCATTTTTGTGTCACATGTCCAATTCAAGCAAAAGACGGTGCACAGGCATCACTCAGGTCGTTTACACGCTCAGTTTAATCGGATTAACCTCATAATTCGTCTTTTTCTCTGAATCCGACTTCTCTCCTCGTCCTCGTTTACATGCAGCTGAGAAAACCAAATTATTGACGTGAACGTGTCCTCCTCCCCGACACCAGGGGGCGATATGGGTCTTTTCAGCGGCGCTGTTTCCGACCCCATACAACCGTCAACAACAACAGCAGGTCGGTGTCAGACGTCAGAAGTGTCTACAACTGCTGCTGGGCATTTTGGAGAAACAAGAAGATGGAGCATCGTACAGCGTTGTTTTTGTCCGACATGATGGACGCGCTACTTTTTCTAAAGATGAGACCAACGCTACTCCTCTACTCTGGGGTTTTGTTACAGGGTTACGGGGGCGTGGCGCACATGCATTGTCCGATCGTACTCCGACTACGCTGGTTACATGGTAGAGAAAATCGAATTCCAATCCCATTATCTGGGTGTCTTAATCGGAGACCTCAAACTAAGGTGTTCACATGCACTTCAGTCGTCCGGTCTTGATCGGACTAAGGCGATAACTGTCATGGAAACATACTGAGTGTGTGCATGCATGTGAGATAACATGAGGCAGGTGAGAAGACATCACGGGTAAAAACTCAGCAGAATATTCCAACATGACACTCTTTGTGTGAGTCCATCATCACCACTGTTGCATGAAAACAGAAGTAGAGATCGTTATTTTGGTTATTTTCATGTTTCTGACAGTAAAAATTAAATCAAACACAACTTCAGGATTTACAAAGTTCAGCCCGAATCTCCTGCTGGGGATTAAAAAAGCTTTCCTGATTATTTGGTGCAAAGTTGACCAATCGTTGCACAAGAACTCTGACGCACAAACACCAGCCTGGGCAGCCGGAGTCTGCAGACGGTTAGTAGAACCGCGCTGTCGTATTCGTACCATTTATCAGTCTTGAACCTTTTCGTTAACGTGACGAGTTTGAGCCGCTGAGAGAGTTCATCCTTGCTATTATATGTTCTTTTCCTCTAGGCCTCCTCTCTCTCTTCCCTTCCTCGCTCTCCGACCTCAGAAATATCCCGTCGGCTCTCTGCCAGCGCTGCAAGGAGGACGCTTCATCTGCAGCGAACAAAACACGACACTCTGCTCCTCTGCAACAATGAGAAAGAGGGAAGAGCCGCATGCTCTCAGTATCATCTGTAAAACTCAATCAAACCACCCGCCGGCTCGGCAGCAGCAGTCCGAGGCAGCGGTGGTGGTGGTGGTGGTGGCGGCAGTGGCGGCCACGGCGGTGAGGGGCAGGGGGTCGTTGTATAAAGAGCGAGTCAAACGAAAAGCAGCATGGCAGCTGGAGACTGGCCTTTTAACATCAACACATCCTCCCAGTAAATAAAAAGAGACAATTGTTTGGTCACATCGTACACACACACACACACACACACACACACACACACACGCACACACACACACACGCAGGACGGCAGTGTGAGTGTGTTAAACGGTTATTTGCTCTGGCTGCCTGAGCCAATAGGATTCAACGAGCCGTGGAGGTGTGGACACTCAGAGAGGCTTCGTCCACGATTAGACCGAGAGCTCAGAGCTGAGCCCGGGGATTACCTGAGGATGTGTGTGTGTGTGTGTGTGTGTGTGTGTGTGTGTGTGTGTATATGTGTGTGTGTGTGTGTGTGTGTGTATATGTGTGTGTGTGTGTGTGTGTGTGTGTGTGAGGTCTGAACAGCTGCAGAGCAGAGCAGCGGCTGATATTTGAAGCTTGTATTACTGCTGTAAGCTTTTGAAGAACATTGCTGACATTTTTCCGGCTGAAAAAGTTGAATTTCATCAAATGTCATCCGTTAAATTAACATTTTAAAAAGGGTGGCCAAATATTCTGATCTGAGGCCTGAATTTAAATAAACTTTAACTCTTAGTTTGACAGTTTTTCCTCTTATGAAGATGTGATAAGGATTTTTATCGTCCCTTTCTTCTCTATGGTTTGAATGAAACTGAAGTTAATAAATTCATGTCGTTCTCATCTAAACTTGGCTCTACCATCAACTACATGACTGAGCATGCTCAGTCTGACAGCCAAGTCGTTGTAAAGTCCAAACATTTGAGCCCCGCTCTAAACACGTTTTTTAAATGAGTGTGTATGTGGTTTTTGGTGCATCTGCAGCCAGCCTCTAGTGGACACTCATGGAACTGCAGTTTTTAGTCCAGTTCTGGAGACTGAAGTTCGCAGCAGCCAAAGTCGGATTTACTGCACCCAGGATTCATTTAGCGTGGCTAACATGACGAAAAATCCAGATGTGTGGTGGAGCTGGTTCTTGTGAGCATCAGAAGGAGTTTTAGACCAAATCAGGACGGGTTCTGATCATAGACTGCTTATAGAACAGCGCCGTCTGGTGATGGGCTGCAGTATAGGTCCTAAACCCCGCCTCCTTATGGAGCTGTGGACAAACTTTATAAATGAATGACACAGAATATAAATGTTTCTCCCCCCTGGTTGTGATGTTGACATGTAGTTACTGTGAGACTGGTTTGTGCTCAAGTCCTCTTTTTTCTGTACAGCTCCATTTTTAAAAGTTATTAGGGGGTTCATGTTTTCTATGATTGACACTTGATACAGCCTATGGGAGGACAGAGATTGTGTAGATCACCGGGGGATATGCTGTTTGAGTCGAGCGTCATCACAGCGACTCTCGGCCAACGTTCCCGCCGAATGTGTACAACGTTACCGCGCAATGTTGGTTTCAGGAAATGGAGAAAAAATGCAAAATTACAGAGAACTTTTCAGAGAGCTTTTTGGTTCCGACTTACTGATGGAAGTCAGAACCAAATGGTCAATAGTAAATACAGTCTCTGGTTCTGATGTGCTAGAACCTTCCCTGGTTTTCTCGAGGTGTTGCTTTTTGAGAAAGGAGAAATGTCACTTTTTGTGAGTTTGTTTAGCGCAGATTTCTCTTCATTTGGGGACATCGTAGCCTCTCTGTCTTTGCAGATCTTCCATTCATGGAGTCGAGGGTTTAAAGTCAAAAACTTTGCAAATAAGTTCTTAGGATTTCAAAGCTGCAGATTGTTCCCTTGTTTGATTGGTAGAAAAGACTCTGGAGTGGGATACGTCCATGCATTTTGTTTGGGAAATGTCAGCGATAGAAGCCGAGGAGGCTCGACTGGCAGAGAAATCGGGTGCAGCTAAATGAAGAGGAACGTGGACGACTTCATTTTGAGTTTGTTTTAACTGAGGACACAACATCAGGATCGACTGTTTCAGGATCTGTAATCCTATCATCACTTACCTGCACCACTAAGATCCAAATAAGAGAAATAAATGTCAGACTCGCTGGGACTTCATGCAGCTCTTCACAAACAGAAACCTCCTGTGTACCTGCAGAGGTCAAAGGTCAAAGGCCCCAGGTGAGTCCACAGTTTTAGAGCTGATGTTTCCTTTCAAAAACAGCCTCTGAGTTCGTTTAGCGGGTCGTTTCCTGCACAAAGAGGCCGCCGTACCTTCCAGCCGGCGAGCTAATGAGAAAGCATCATTTCATTAAAGGTGACACTCGTCCTCTTCACCAGAACCGCTCGCCTCGGGCTCCTGCAGCCTTCTCCTCTCCGCCTGCTGCCCCTGACATTTGGATCAAGATTACTTTTGTTATCGTGGAAAACTTGGTGCATTCTGGGTAAATATTGCAGGTTGAGGTCGCAGAGAGAGCAGCTTGTTTTGCAAAGTGAAGCCCGAGGCTGCTGCCGCTCGCAGAAACACACAATACCTTCAAAAAAGACGCCTTTCAAACTTTTAAAAGCAGCAACTCCAGCGCTGATAAATTAGTAATAATACGTGGTAATGCTCTGTATGTTCACCGTGTGCATGTGTGTGTGTCTGTGTGTGTGTGTGAGGGCTGTTTGCTAACACCGTGCACCACTTGTAAGTATAAAAAGCTTCTCAAACTTTTAAAAGCCCAGGCGATAAATTAGCAATGTGATATAATCATTTCCACCGAGTGTGTGGGCAAGGACGCAGGTCGAGCCGCAGAGTGCACGATTTAAGTGCTCGACTAAACAGGAAGGTTTCATCTGAGGAGGGACGCTGCGTTCATGATGCACGGCACAGAAGGGACGACACGCACACATGTAAACAAAGCAGCTGGAAAAACCCGGACGGAGACATTTTTATCCAAATCAAACCAAAATAAACTAGTAAAACAAAATAAATAAAGAAAATAAACGAGTAAAACCTGATAATCAGTCAGTTTTCCTCTTTCAATCTTGCACCATCTGCAGCTGCTCACTGTGAGGCACTCTGGAAAATTTCAGGAGCTTTGACCAAGAAAGTGCGAGCTGTTTGAGGGGAGGAGGAAAGGATGGGAAATCACAGGACATGGACGGAGTAAATGGAGAGAGTATTGGTGAAGGGGGGAGAACTGTTGGTGTTCACACATGCTCCCATCCACAGGGTAATTCAGGAAGTTTTCAGGAACTTTGTGTGTGACTAAAACCAGCTCAAATAGAGTATTTTTTATTTTATTTTATTTATTTTTGTGGTGGATGAATCCACAGTTGGGGCTTGGATGAGTATTTCCGGCAGCAGGACGGTGTGTTTGCACATTACTATTATTGAGCTCTGTAGCTCTAAAGCCTGAACATGTCCTTAAACTCTCAGTAGCTGCGTTTACGTTGGCACAAATAATCAGAATAAAGGCCGATCGGAATAACAACGCGTCACGTAAACATCAGTGGCGGCTGCTGGTCTTTCAAGGAGGGGAAGCTCATTTTTCTGGCCTACATCATAATTGTATTTGTTTATTAGTATGTAACAGAACAGAGTCGCCAAACACAACGGCAGTCATTTTTAATAAAGACAGAAGTCGCTGAGGATCGGTAAGGTCTCCGGAGCAGTTAAGAACAGCGGAATGAATAACTTGGAAAATGCTCTGGTAGATGTTTTATTCTTCGAGATCGCTGATTCGCTTGTTTAGCTGTCAATCAAAAAAGGATTTCGCCTCAGACAGCTCATCCAATCATGGATGCAGAAGCTTGGAGTCCGGGAGAAAGTCGGGACCGCCCTCTCGCCATAGAACTCCAGTGAAGCTGGGCTTCCGATGGGCGGGACAAAGCCCAGCATTTATCCAATGAGCGTCTAGTTTCGCTGCTGGAACAACCCACTTTGAGCTTCCACATTGAAGTCAGCAGAAGCCCAGCGTCCGGCTGTTTAAAGCGCTGAGGCGCTGCGAGGATGAATGAGAACGAAGTTATGCCGGTTACCTGTGATTATCAGCTTCTTATCACAGTGTCTGAACAAAAGATGAAGGCTTTCTAGTGCGTATTTAGTTAATGAAATGTACACACAGCAGTACGTATTTCACCACTTTTTCTTTTTTTTGAGGGGTGACATTTTAAGGGAAGCCGAGCTTCCCTTGCAGTCTTAGAGCAATCGCCACTGGTAAACATGTTGATCAGAAGATTCTGATCCAATTCGGCTCAATCAGGAAGAAATTGTGTTCCTATCGAGAGGGGTGGTTTATGCCGATCGTTATTCCAAAACATGTCCATGTGAACACTGTAGAGTGTTGTAGCGCCATCGCTAAACTTTCCTCCCTCGGGTCCTGGACTATGTCACTTTATCCTAGTTGTAGAAGTCCTGCAAACATTGTGTTTGCTGGTAGTCTGTTGGCATCTACAGTAGCACCAATGCTTTTGACTTTCACCTTGACTGGGCCCCATTTGTAATGATCTGAAATATTTATCTGCTTTATATCTGAATTTAACTGGAACGATACGAGCGAGCAGGAGCGTCTGTTTGTGGGCGGGGCTTAAGAGAGGGAGAGGAGGAGCTGAGGGGAAAACTGGTTGGGAGGGGTAGAGTTTACATTCAAGATTTCTCCTAAAAACTGGAACTTCCTCAGATCCTGACTACAACACCTTTAAGGTGAAAAATGTTTCTAACCATCCAGTGTATGAGTGAGGTCTGCAGTCCTGCAGGGGCGTGTGTGCAGCTGTATTTTCTCCTCCATGTTTCGCAGCATCAGTAGAGACATTACGCCCCCATAATCTATGCACATGATGAAAAACTGATTCTGATTGAAGACATAAACTGACAGTCTAATTGAACCATTTTGCTCCTGCGTTATTTCCCATAACCCCCCACTGCTGCGGCTGCTTCCATACACTCAGATGTGATTCTTCGCCTCCAGACTGTTTTCTGCAGAATTAATGGATGGAAAATAGTCACACTTGAAGATAAATGATGCGGGATCATACTCACCGCGCTACACAGCATAAATCACATTTACACCAGCTTCAATAAAACACTATCTTCACAGAAATCAGGTTAACATTACAGATTGATTCACTGTTTTTTTTTCTCAGCGTGATGTTTTCACATCATTTCCAGGTGAC